CTGTTAACGCTAATCATGCCGTCACCCATGTACATAGTGCCTTACAGAAGGAGGCCGGCTGGCTTCACGGGCAGCAAACCAGTCACTTCCATGAGGCCCCACTGAACTGTGCAGTAGGTCAGCACGTGGGCTACACTGAGAAACGTGGGCTACCCTGACGCCCCGGCCAATGAGAGCCGCCAAAGCCGACGTGCCAGCCCCCTTCCTCCTGCTCCGAGAGAGTCGCTACCCACAGCTGCAGTGGCGAAGACCGTCGGCCAGTGCACGGACACGCACTGCACAATCCCAACGTTCAGTGTTTAGGTCTGCATGACCACACGGGCAATGCTGAGATAAAAGTCATCCGTATGAATTTAGTTTGTGGGGAAAGTAGTTGATGAGTTTGCTTGCTTAAAAATAAAATGTTAAAAATGAATACTCTACATGCTGTTTCTAGAAGTACGGCTTACCCCAGACGTGTCTATTGCTTCACTCTCCTGTGATCAACTACAACAGACAATATTAGCCCCAAACCTGGCAAGTTGAAGCAAGCATGTGTTTACGAGGCACATGTATACTCCTGCTGCTAAATCACAAACAGAAACACCATGGGATGGGGCTTATTAAAACACCGAAAAGCAGGTGTTTGTGTCTTAGAAAAAAAACACTGGGAAGATTTCCCACAGCAAACCGGTGTCATCAGAGACTAGAAACTGCAGACACTGTTTAAAGAAAAAATTACGGGAGGGAGAAGGGAAACTGAGAGGAAAAGAAAAAAGATGAGCAGAGTCCCCCTCTCACACGTCCCTGCTTCTCAAGGACCCCGCGCCCCGGCAGCGGCTCACAGTTAGCCCTGGGAGGAGTGCCTCCTGGGCGCGCCCCACCCTTCAAAACACGGTAAGGACTGGCTCCCAGTGCGTGGTCCGGAGAGCCTCTGCAGGAGAGGTGCCAGGTCAGTAAGGACACTGGTTAAACACGGATGGAGACTCTCCATCTCTGGGGTGGAGCATGAGCAGCTGCTTTAACCAGCACCCTACAGTTAGAAAACCACGGACTCAGGAAAGGAAAAATCACTTTAAAATCAAAAGCAGTCCTTCCCTTCCCATCTTCCTTCCCCTCCCCTCCTGGCGCCCAGGGTCCGAGGCAGTGAGAGTGGGGGTGCCAACAGAGGTGTCCACCGCGGGGCTTTCTAAGGATCCGGGGGGCGGGGGAAGAGACGCAGACCAAGTGGCTAGGAGACGGGGCAGACTGAGAAAATACAGCTATCAGATCAGAGGATAAAGGGAGCCAGGCTTCTGTCGTCTGAGAAGGAATTTATAAACACAGCAAGGGCAAGGCTGGAGAGAGCCCTGACGCACTGGATTAGGAACAGAAGTACCAGTATGAACACGTGGGTCTTTAACACAGACACGGGGCGATACAGCAGCAGCCCCAGGTGGAGTGGACGCGCGTGCACGGTGCGCAGGTACACAGCCGCGTACAAGGGTTTCCTGGCTGTCTGCCCTGAGGGCCTGCATGAGCTGATGCCCCACAAGTAAATGAGCGCTCCTGAGCGCCCCATCTTAGGCTCTAAATCCCACACAACACAATTACCGCAACTCCTCGGTGAGATGGGAGATCCCAGGGATGAGGCAGGGAAAGTACACAGTGAGCCTGGGAACGTTACACCAGGAAGTTAAGGAAGCGCTCAAATAATGATTGCAGAGGGAGCTGGGAGGGGCAAGAAGCACCAGGGAGAAACATTTATCAGTGTTATCTCCCACAAAATGCTCCTCAAAACCAAATTTTTTTTAATGACTTTGCACTAGAGAAACCTTGCAGACCAACCTCACCAAGGGGTCAAGGTTAACGTCACCAATGGCGGGAGGGGTCAGCATCCTCTGACCCTGCTGTGACCCTTGGCTTTTATCAGCACAGGAGGAAACCTGGATGGATGGGCAAGAGGTGGAGGGTCATCCTAGAGAATGAAGGAGCTTTATTCTCTAACACTGTCACAAAGACTAAAGAATGTTCCACCGGGAAGGAAACCAATGAGTTGTGTCCACTAAGTGTAATGCGTGCTGCTGGACCTCGCCCCAGACCAGTGAGAACCGTGGGAAATACCAACAGGTCTGTGGGAAGGATGCTTGTGTTGCAGCACAACTGATTTACTGACTGCAGAGAGTAGTGCAGGGAGGGGGTGACAGAGCAACTGTGGAAAAACGTGAAAAACTGGGAAATCTGGGTAAGGGAATGTGGGAGCAGCTCTCTGTTCTGTTCTAACACTTTTCCAAAGCCTAAAACCATTTCAAACTTTAATTAAAAAGGAAAAAAAAAAAGTTTGTTCTGTTCTATTGAATGAAGACTTTTCTGTTCATTTCACTGTGAAGTTACTGTTTCCTTGAGTTTATAGTTCAGTTGCAAACATGTTTTTAGGCTAAAAATTGTGGTTTAATCCCTCAGCCCGAAAAGCAGTTTACTTGCCATCAAATTATTTAAAACTTTTAGTACCAATATAAAATCTAATGAAACTGCACAGCAGGAACACGTAAGTTCCCATGTCAAGATGCCCCATTCCTACAGAAGGCATTGGTGAGAGAATTATGTACTCTGCTAGAAGTTCAAAGGCAACAGGCAGACTGAACTGGCCGGTGTAGCCAGGGGATGACACTGGTCAGGTCAGGCTGACTCTGACTGGTGCCGAGCACCGTATGAGCGAGCTACCCTACAGGGGTCTGGAACCTACCAGGGCAATCAAAATGCAATTCCCGAGAAAATCATTAGTATGTAGATGAGTGAAGGCCCAGTTACATGGTGGGCAACAGTCACTCACTGTCTTTATTACAGGTCAAAATCAGACAATGCCTAGAGATGGTACACTAGGGAGAAAGAAATTAATGTTTTTTTGGAACTCACAATAATCCTCATGAACTAATGTGATGAAAAAATTACAGATCTGTTCAACTTTCACTTTTACTGTTAAAAAAGCTATCACTGGGCACCTGGGTGGCTCAGTTGGTTGAGTGTCTGACTCCTGATTTCAGCTCAGGCTGTGATCTCAGGGTCTTGAGATCGAGCCCCCTATCCAGCTCTGCACTGACCATGAAGCCTGCTTAAGATTCTCTCTCCCTTTCCCTCTGCCCCTCTTTCCCACAATTAAATAAATAAACAAGCAAACAAAATTAAAGAGCCTATCACTAATATTTATATAGTTCCTAATAAATTAGATCATCAAATTTACTAAAATACATTGGGTACAAAATTAAGAAGCATAATACAGAGGGGACTTTTTAAAATTCCATGGACAAAATAAAACCGTGCTAAAAAAGGGGGGGGGATCTTTTGGATAAAAAGGTAGCTAGAGAAACAAACATGTAGATTTCAACCTTCCGGGCAGGAGGCGTGACCACTTTCTGAAGCAAGTATCACAGGCACTGGGGACACTATGGGATCAGGAGGCCCGGGCACAAGGACAGGAGAATAGCAGGTGCTCAGTGAAGCAGGAAGTGCCGGCTGAAAAGCAAACGGCCGACTTCTTCCCTACGACTTTGACAAGTGTGTTTGTAGCTCTAATCAAGGAAGACGTGGGTAAACTGAGGCTCCACTCTGCGCCCTGCCTTCTGCCAGGGTTTCGCAACATTTCTTACTCAGGTCTCCAGTGAGCTTTCATCTCAGCATACACGACTGTCAATGCCCACGATGACAGGAGAGTGGGGGACACCCTGCCGAAGACAAGCACGTGCCCCCACTCCCCTCCGGGAATTTAACCACCATCACAACGGCAGACTGGTCTGGCCTGATGACCACGCCACGGATGAGGTGGGCACAGGTCAGGCTCTCGGCACTCACTGCGCCTAGCGCGTGAGAGCACGCAGAGGCGGCATGGAGCCGGCCTGCCTGGGTCCACGTCTCTGCTCCACCTCCTGCAGCGACAGACCTGGCACAAGTCACTTCATCTCCGAGCCTCGGTCTCCTCATTTGTAACAGCACAGCCAACGAGGACACGTGCCCCAGAGTTGTGAACATGAAATAAGTGATCCTATAAAGTCCTCACAAAAAAGCCAGGTCCAGGGGCACCTGGGTGGCTCAATCAGTTAAGTGTCCAACTCTTGATTTCAGCTCAGGTCATGGTCTCAGGTGGTGAGATCGATCCCCACATCAGGCTCCACACTGGGCGTGGAGCCTGCTTAAGATTCTCTCTCTCCCTCTCCATCTGCCCCTCTCCTGCTGCATGAGCTCTCTCTAAAAAAATAATAATAATAAATAAAATAAAAAAACAGGCCCAGAAAAAGGGGGCAGAAAATAAGATAGGGATACATAAAGAATAGTTTACCTTAAAATAATAAAGAAAATGCTATACTTAGATTTCTAAAACAGCTAGTAGCTTCAAACAGTGTGTGTTTTGGGGGGCACCTGGGTGGCTCAGTTGGTTGAGCATCTGACCTGGTTTTGGCTCAGGTCATGATCTCAGGGTCAAGAGATCGAGCCCCACGTCAGGCTTCCTTGCTCAGCGTGGAGTCCGCTTGAGATTCTCTCTCCCTCTCCCTCTGTCCCTCCCCCTGCTCGTGCATGCTCTCTCTCTCTCTCTCTCTTAAATAAACTTTAAAAAACAAATAAAACAGCGTGTGCTTTTTGATCCAGAACATGAGACGGTATCAGGTTTCCCTCCTTTCTAGAATGATTCATTCAGGAAAACTGAGTTCAACTAGACTGAATAGCATGAAAAAATATGTATTTCCTAAGTACATGCAAGCCAGAAAATTGGAATCTCACCCTAGCAGATGGAAATATAAGCACACTAGAGGAAATCCACAAACGTCACAGGGGCAGGAGAAGTGTGCTCACTGCCGACCACCCTGTTTTATAGGAGCCCCACCCCCACCCTAGCACACACACCATTCAAAAGTCACAACCAAACTGCAGTTTAACGCGAAATCTATAAGCTGTCTCTGGGCTAGACAAAACTGCATTCTTTCTCCCCAGCTTTTGCTATTATGATACAAAACTGTTGCTTTGCATCTCAAGTGGAACTGCCCGCTCACCTCAGAATAAGCAAGAGTGATGTGCTCATATATTCCCTGATGGTGATGAATGGCGTCCTCCAGATCCTGCAGCTCTGAGGGAAGGTCTACCTCACCACAGGCTTTACACCACGAATCCACGTTGCTCATATACTTGTAAGATTAAAAAAAAAAAAAAAAAAAGATTATTTCTATCAATGGCAATTTATATTGAGAAGTAGATTTTTTTTTTTAATACGGTTTTGAAGTGAGGGTAGTTGAGAGAGAATCTAAGAATGCAGTATGGTTGAATCTCCACCTCAGATGGCACTACTGTGAGCCCTCAAACCATCCCTGGACTCCACCCCTGAGCTCTGAGGCCCACAGCTAGCAGCACATCCGGAGCAAACCTGCCCTCAGTTCTGTTTTGGGCCTCCTCGCTAATTCCCCAGCCCTTGTCCGAACCAGTGATGCCAACCGCCCTGCGCCTCAGCCTCAGCTGGGAGCTGCCGTCCAGCCTGCCCACTTTGCTCTAACACTGAGATGCTAACAGAAGCCCGAGTTCCTGAAATCATTTGCCTGAACACAGGAAGCGCAGCAGGCCCATTTTTCTACCTTTTTAAAAGTAAATATGCACAGAAATGAAAAAGACCAAATGAAGGCCAAAGTCCTCAGCCGTGCCCACTGAGCCCAGAGGAAGGTGAAGGGAGGTGGCAGACTCACTCACAGGTCTTTTCCATTTTGCATGTAAACAAGAAGGGAAGTCTCAGCTGGACTGCCATTCCAACCTATCCTCAATTTACTCCCCTGCCACCCCCACAGCCCTGGGATTCATCAATAGCAGAGAAATCACGGCCAGACTTCCCAGGGAGATCCTATCAGCACCCATCACAGGTAAGTGTCAAAGGCAAGCAGCAGACCAATTAAAGACGCTAATTCAATTACACCAAATAGACATGGACACATTTCCCTGGGCTTCACCTCTTTTACTCTAATTCCCTGGCATCATTCTACGTTTACCAGGGAATGCAGAGGGTGACTATTTAAAATTGGGTGACTGACCTGCCAGACAGGAAACATGCTAGGATTCTCTTAAAATACATAGGATAATGACCTCCCAATTACTTATGACATTTCTAGAAACTTAAAATAGGACAGTCACCCAAGTAACAATTTGTTTATAAAAATCCTTTTACTATTAACATACTGGCTCAGAAAAATATCTGTATGCAAACCTTACGGCTTGAAAGCAATTCATAGGGCATTATGTGTCATATGATAGCATCTGATGGCTTCAACCAACACCGGCGCAGGGGAATAGCCTCTCTACGGCGCCTTCCGAACACCGTCAGACCAACAGAAGTAGGGATGAAGTTACTTTACGCCTCTCCCCCCTCATGTGACTATATACGCATATTTCTAGGGATTTTGTGTGTGGAGCATTCTATAAATGTCAAACAGGTCAGCTGAATGATTCTCAGTTTTCTTGATCTTGATTTCACTCCTCTTCCGTGACTGCATTTAACACCATTGTAAACCCTTCTCAAATATGGATTGACTCAGGTTAACCACCATCATTAATAAATCATCAGGTCAAGACAGCAATTAACTGCTCCTGCACGAGGCCACAGCGGCACATCCAAGGCAGAGTCACCATATACTCTTCAGAAGAGGCTAAAATGCTTCTGCTGTAACAAGGGCGAAACGAGTTTCAGTTATACAATACCACATGATAAGCAGAAGTGTCAGGCTCATATATCACTGTATCAAGATGACTATTAAAATATATTCATCTCCAATTTTTGAACCAACCAGTAAAGAGAAACATTCAAGAAGTTTTATATATGCCTGCAGTAAAAGTAACTTATAATTTCTTCAAGTATCTGGAAAGGGTATTGATTATACTTACCTGAAAAAATATGGCCAGGTCCTAAACACATAAAGAAGGATGGCTTGCCATGAGGCAATCTTGTGGAGAAAGGGTTCTGCCCATCTAAATTCACTGGGTTAAAGTACCCCAATGACAGAAATAAACCCGGGCATGGTTTCACAGGACTTCTGTGTAAGCGCAATTTGTCTTTTGTTTGTGAGATGGCAACTCTAGACTCCAGAGGGCAAGCTCTAAGCCCCCATGCTTTCTGAAAGGCTGAACACCCAAAGAGTCTGAACCCACTGTACATGTGTGTACCTGTAATTTTAAACAGGTCTTATTTTTGCCAAAGAAGAGAAAATCCCTCTTTTTTGGCAAAGAGGGCAGCAATCTCCAATCAGAGAGCCAAAAAAGAAGGCGCTAATAGGTTTTCCCCGAAAAAGGGCATCCTGGTGGGAAAGTTCAACAGGTACCTATATAGAATAGAACCTCTCAGAGCCTTTTAATATGATAATGTGCACTGTGGATGGGGGGCAAGGGGGGCAGACTGGTGTGCTCGTTCCCCAAACTTCTCTGACCACTCTACTGCACTGCACCCTCCTCACCCCCAGCCCCTGCACGTGTACCATCTTGAGAAATACGGTTTGGGATTACAACTCCAGGGGAATATGCACTCTGTAAAGGACAGAGCAGAAGGGGGCTATCGTGCTCTAGAGAGAAGACAGAGCAGCCAATTCAGTCTCTGATGCTTTAAATGCCCAGAATATGTGAATACACAGTATCCAGCAAGGCTGGACAGGAGAGGGCAAGAGAACTCATGCTTCTCCATGAATTCAAATCAGGAGCCAGCTATAGAACTGTGAATTCTGATGTTCAGCAGAATGGTGACTTTTTTCAAGTGTAGCTGAATACAAGATGAAGCGTCTGGCTCAGCCAGTTTGCAAAATTGAGGCAAGCAGTTGAGGGCAGAGTAATTAAAACACACAGCTTTAACGGGAGAGCTTGAATAATTAATTAGATTTGTTTTCATAAACATTTATTCCACTACCTTCCACATGCTGAGAGAGTGGGGGCTTCCAATTTGGGAGCTGCTCAGCTCCCTGGCCTGCTCTGCCTCCTCCCACCCACCCCCCACCCCCACCAGGGCTCATGATGGGGCACAGCTGAGCATGAGTGGTTAGCCGATTTAGGAGACAAAGAGACAAAAACTGCCTAGAATGGGGATTTTTCAAATATTTAGAGGGATTTTCTCTTCTTTGGCAAAAATAAGACCTGTTTAAAATTACAGGTACACACATGTACATGTTTAATATACATATGAACTCAAACATCAGAGTTCTTTTCTTATTTCAATTTTTTATTTTCATGTCTAGAAAATTTTACCCTAGAAGTTTTATATTTGCCTATAGTAAAGTAACTTATAATTTACTACTTTTCTTTTTTATTTCATCCTTTTTGCTCCATGAGTATTCATCAGCACGCCCTCTTTCCTGGTTCCTCCGAGGGAGATGGGCTCCCTTCTCTGCCCGTGGAGATCACAGGAGTGAGGAGCCTGTTCCATTTGCGAGGCTCTGACAGAACCACCACAGTAACTTGGAGGAGACAGGCTCAACTTGAACCAGAATATGCCAGTGATCACATGCCTTAAACCTGTTCTCATTAAGAACTTTTTCTTTGATTTTTATACATATTTACTCCAATTCCTTTCCATTCCATGAGAATCTTGATTTTGTCCACAAGCCAAGAGTTAGGCCTATGCTTTCAATAAAGTAAAATACCATTAAAATGGGAACAATTACATGTGTATTATTTGCCTTAAAAATTCAAAAAGGAATAGCGAAGTATTATTTTCCTCCGAGTTCCAACCCAGACTTAGGATAAAATTATGTGGATAACTAGGATAGGTCATGTTTGCCATAAATGTTATTTCTAAAACTTTTTTTGTAAGGATATTAACCTAAGTGCTTTGTTGTGAAAGTGTTCTATTATGTCAGGAACTAAAAGGCTGTCACATACCTCAACAGAAGTCCCAACATAAGTAAATCGCTCCCCAAACACAATATAAGGACAAGAACTCCACAGCCCCATCTACTTCACTGGGCTGATTTAAAGATGAAATGACATTTTGTGTTAGAGAGCTCTGTAAATTCTAAAGAACTAAACAAATACTGTAAATTCCAAAGAACTATACAGATACTGGCTCTTACTTTATTTTTGGCTATTATCAAATTGGAGAGGCTCTCAAACTCACAGATAAAATGAGGTAATCAGATTGAAGGCTCACTGTAAAGGCATACCTTTATCAGCACTCACAGAACTTTCGGCAGTGATGGAAATGTCTATCTGTGCGGTCTGGTCTACAGAAGCCAGCAGCCACAGGGTGGACACTGTATGGAATTTTAATTTACTTTTACATTATCTTATTAACAAACTAAGTAATTTCCATAGCCGCATGTGGTGAGTGGCTACCATACTGGACAGTGCAGCTCTAGACCCTTTTTTTTGTTTTTAGAAAGGCAGACTGCCACACACAGCACCTCATTTGGATGTGTTGGGAGTCTCGAAGTTTGACTACCCTCCTTTCCACAAATGGACCTGGAGGGTCTGTGTGGGGATTCTAGCAGGAAAGCACAGATCCTGGCACGCTCCTGACCGAAGACTATCCTCCTCTTTCGGGAACAGTCACCCTCTTGGATGCAGTGTGCAGCTCCAGGAGGGACACACATGGAGCGGGGACAGAGGAGGGGGGACACGCACCTCGCCAGCCAGATCAGTGGGATCAACACTGGCAATCAGTGGGGTGACAGATGTCGCAGCCAGATCACCCTCACACCCCAGATCACTCTTTTTTAAAAAACTGGAGATGCAAAGGTGTAGTAAAATCAATCACTTTCTCTGGTTTTATAAAAATGTAATTCTAATAACATTAGCTATGAAAGCTTCTTCGTATGGAGACACCATCCAGCGGATATGCCCCATGACCAAAAGAAGTGAAGGCCAGAGCCCCTGAACACCGTGTACCGGTGAGACTGCCGGCCTTGTGGTCCTGACTCCAAGCTTGCAAACAGAGATTCCGATTGCCCACAGGACGTCCCCAGAGTGGGAGAAGGCCTGAGAGCACATGAACAGCCGAGACGCCTGCAGAAGGCACGCTGTCTAGGCAATGTTCTCCTCATCTAGTCTGCACATCAAGATTTATGTTTGTAAAACCACAAGCAAACCCCAACACCAGAACACCCACTGAGAGATCGCAGAGGAGCGTGGCTGGGCAGTGCAGGGCACATGTCTCCCCAGCTGGGAGCTGGAATCCTTACAGGGAAGGCTGCTTCCTTCGGTAACACCATGAACCACGGGGGTCCCATAGTGGAGCTCCAGGCCTTCCTCATCAGATTTCATTTCTTACTGATACGTCTGGATGGGGTTCAAAGAGGTGGCTAAGAGGGCAACCTCACTTACGATGTCCAAGTTTCTGGTCTTTTCCCCCCTGAGCTTACGAAAACAGCTTAAGCATAACCGGAAAGCAAAGCACTTAAAAAAAAAAAAAAAAAGACCAAAGTTGAGCTATTTCTCTCCTGGGAAGAGGAAAAGTACTGAGTAGATGTGATCTTCCTTCACGCATGAGAATTTCAAGGATCTTACTTTTGTTCAGTGAAGCGGAAGATTCCCGATAACGTTTTCACCTGAGACTAAAGACACTCTGAACACTTTCTAATGTCCCATCTGCACATTTAGTTGCTTGGGCAGACCTCGATCGAGGTCCATCAGAGACGCTGGGCCCTTTCTTCACCAGGCCCCTCTGTCCCTATGATCGTATCTGGCTTCTTCTCTGGCTACTCGATACACACAGAGACCTCAAGCACTCTTACAGTTTATGAAGGATCCCACAAAATTGTGTTCAGTAATGTATTCATCTAGTTTAGTTTCCTTCAAATCCATAAATTACAGTCATTCATCTTATCCAAACGAAAACACCCCAGGCTCTTTTGATGCTGAATGTTTGAAAATGCCCCATGGCACCCACATTTCTAGATTATCTTCAAGCAGGTTAGAATAGCAATTAACTTCGGGGTTTATTTACAATTCTGAATCCTACCATGTTTATGAAAGAGATTTTCCCTGTGTGTTACTCTGCTTCAGACTCTCTGCCATTCACCCAGGTAGCTTGTCCTGTCTCACATTTATTCATATCGTCTTCATAGAACTTTCTGACAGCCCAGTACCAATTCGCACACTTGTACTTCCAGGGGTTGCTACACCCCATAATATGTTACCATTCCAGATGACCTATATATAGGGACCTATATATAGGGACCAGACAGCTCATCCTCACACCCATGATGGTGTCCAGTGAACAATATACCACTACTCAGGACAACGATAGGTAGCAGGGGTGAGCGTGGTGCTGTTCTCTGCTGGGGCGGGTTCCTGTTACTTTTTTAAAAAACCTGTTTTTGTGTGTGGGCTTTTGTTTATTCTTTATCATAAAACCAATTAAACGGGTAAGTTTAGGAAGGTGAAAAATCTTACTATTAAAACCTGGAAGTCCTTATTCACAGCTTTCACGTGAGGCTACTAAGATTTTTTTCTCTTTATTCCCTTTAGTTTCCTCTCTTGCTTCACACTTGAAAGGCTTCTAGAGTTGAGATCACTGCTAATTAGGGTCTTGTGCAACATTCTCATTGTCTTGCCAAAACCCTGGGCAAGCTGAGACTTTTATCTTACCTTTACTGACTTCACTCCTCAACAGGGACTGTTTCTAGATTACAGAGAGACACTATTTCCTTCTTAGCAGCATCAGTACAGATCCCTATGAATGCAGTCTCCCCCCCAACACCAAAAAATTCTCCCTATTAGTATTTCTCCCTTAAGGCAACCACTCGCTTCTTCCCCATATGTCTTCCTAGTAGCTAAAAGTTCCTATGTTGTTTCTCCACAACTTGAAAAGGTATTTCCCTGCCCAGCACTTTCCACTACTAAAGTGTGAGTCACGAGCAAAGCACTTCCCTTGTGCAACTTCAGAGTGTTTGCTTCAGCAAGCTCACTGGAGGACTGCAGAGGTGTGAGGAGTGTCATGGGCACACATTGTATGTTACCTCTTCAAGTATTCTGACCAGCACATCGGCAAATGAAGCCAATGTGAAGTCTGAATCCACGCAAATAACTTCGTAAGCGTGAAAGACACTGCAAGCTGCCTACCCAAAAGCCACTTTTCAACCCTAGCCCCTGCTGGCAGAGCAGGCCTACTGCTGTGGAGGCTAAAAAGCCACACTCACCTCTTCCCACCGTCCTGGGGAGCTACGGCGTGGGCCTGCACCCCACTCCTGCTCAAGGGGAATGGAGGCGAGGTGTGTGGGGACGAAGGGACCTTCTGAAAATAATGCTTCCCTGATAAAAGTGACAGGCGCCACCATCCCGGCTACAGTGGGCACCATGCTTGAGGTGCAGGGGCTGTCGCACCATCTCTGTGGCCATGTCAGGAAGGCCAAGGCAACCCAAGAGGAGCAGACCCAGGCCTGACATCGCTGTATGGCTAGAACTCCCATACTTTGCAACTTCTTGTTTTGTGAGAAAAGCAAAGCACTGACAGTTAAACCTAATACTCAGGCATTATTACTTGCTGCCAAAGCATCCTATCAGAATACTAAAGTGACAGTACTGAGGAGGAAGGGGAGGGAGAGTGGGGAGAAGGGAGAAGAGGGAAAAAGAACAGTGGCTACCACTGATTAGTACCTACTGTATACCAGGCCACCTAATACGAATTATCTAATTTACATGAGAAAACACTCCTCTCAAGTAGATACTTTTATTTCCACTTTACAGATGAGAAAACCAAGGAACAGAGAGGCGAAATAACTTGCTGAAGATCGCACAGCACAGGGCCAGACAGCTGGGGTTTTAGCGCACAGCTGCCTGACTTCAGAGCTCATGTTCTTAAGCACTGTAGATGTCACACAGAAGTCCTCCAGGGATCGGATCTGGCTGCAGGTTGGGAGGGTACTGGGGGAGGACCTGTTCCAGTTACTACCTCGTGGGCTGCGGGTCCCAGGCACTGACCTTTTCAGCCTTCTGGTGGAAAATGGAGGACATGTCCAGCAAGGTACTCCGCTCATCCAGGGCTGCCGCAAATGCCTTCCACTCCTGCTCCAGCTGATTCGCAATCTGCTTAATCTGCTGAGAGGCGTAGTGGCCAGACTCTACCAAGCGATTTGCCACCGACATTATGCGGTTTATATTTACATACACGTTCTGCAAAAGGGGGAGAGAAAGAGGGCTTGTCGGGGAAGGCAAACAAGAGGCTTCCTTGTAGGAACTGCGGATGACAGCACTTTCTGAAACACAGCCCACTAACTTAAGTTCCATTTTTAACAGCAGAATCACCTGGTATAGAACAGTGTACATATTTGCTATCTGATTTCCATAAACTCTAAATATTGGTTTCAATTTCTATTTTTAAAACTGCAAAATTACAAATCAACTAGCTGAGAGGCAGACTGGTAGGCACAAAGTAATCATGTACACAAGTGGGTGCACACAAATATACTCTTACTCACTCGCTGGCTTCGAATCCTGACAAGGGTCCAGATGGCAAGCCTACTGAGAAGCAATCACCCAGAACGGAGAAAACCCAACACTGCAGCTTTTAACTAGAACCCAGGAACTACACGCTACACACTGAGCAACCACAGGCTGTTCTGTGTGGAAACAAGCTCTCCCGTCTACACGAGCCCAAGTCGTCTGTGTGGTGCCAACAGAGAATCTTCTGCAGACGGATCCACTTTCTCCATGGAAGAGGAACGGACGCATGAAAGGGAGCAATGCCGTGTGCAACCTTTCAATCAAGTTTTCTACTCTGTGGAAATGCCCATCTTCAAGCCCACCAGTTTACTGCAAAAATAACAGTGTGAGGCTGAAAAAAAGTACCCATTTGTCCCTCAAAACAAGTTCTCACTATGCTATGTTCCCTTCAGCCTTCAGGCACCTTCGAGGTTGCTAGTTCAGCAGAGGCAGCTGTGGGAACGCACGCCTCAACACACCCCAGGTCTGTCGTTCATCACAACACTGCTCCTCTTGATGGGTCCCCCAAAACTGTACACACCTCATTGGCTCCTCCCAATTGTGCTGCTAAATCTAAATACCCAACCTGTCCAAACCTCTCTCCATTTTTCCTGCCTCCTCTCCCCTCTCGCCGTGGTCCTCTGGGCCCCTCTGCCCCTACCATGCACCCTGCACAGCCTCCTCGTGGTCCCCTCGTCCGCAGCCCACCCAGGAAGCCCCTGAAGAATGCGCTTGTCCATTCTTTCTTTGTACCCTATCCTACTCATTTTTTCTCTCCACTTTAACCCAAATCAGAACTAGATGGAGTCACTCCGGGATCAGAGAGCCACAGATTCCAGCCTCTGAGCTCCTCTTCTGGGCACATCTGCAGGCTAGAATCGGCTAAGAGACGACCGGTGTCTGCAGCAGCAGGGAGAGGGCGCCTGCGAAGCTGTGACAGTCAGCCAAGGCCATGGGCAGGGGGAAACTGGCCTCCCTGGCTCTTGTGGCAACAGTGCTCTAACTAGTATCCTTTAGTCAAAATCGATGCCTCCCCGCCCCATATGTGTTCTCACCCACTAGTTGCAGGTGACTAGAGTTACTAATTTTTGTTTTGTTTGTAACATTAAAGAGGAAAATCAACCCCAAAAGTGTTGGGAAGGGCATACGCAGATGTCCTCTGTTAGAATCCAGAGCAGAGCTCTCCATTCAGACGGCTCTGCCGTGGGGACCACTGAGGACACCCACTGCCACCGAGGTTCTGTTACAGTGTCCTGCGTCACTTTCAGATCCTCACCCAGACTGTACTGAGTGTAGAGGGTCTGTGGAGGAGACCTTTCCAATCATTCCGTCACTGACTACACAGATAAAGGAACGTGGTGGCACATGGCCCAATAAACAACCCGTAAGATAGAATACAGAATTCCCTTTGTTAAAAGTACCTACCTCTAGTTCTTATCATCACAGCTTTTTTTTTAGATTTTATTTATTTATTTGAGACAGAGAGAGAGAAAGCA